CCAGCACCGCCGTGGGCTCCGAGGCCGGCGGGATGCAGCCTCCGGGCCCGCCCCCGGCCTATGCGCCCGCCAACGGGGACTTCACCTTCGTCTCCTCGGCGGACGCGGAAGGTGAGAGCCCCGCGGAAGGACGGGGCCAGGGATGGCTGAGTGGGGACTCCGCCCCTGTGCCCGCTGGGCCTTCCCCCGAGGCCGCTGATGACTCGGGAGGGTGCGGGGCGCGGGCTCCGCCGCTGGGCCACCCCCTCTGACGACGGGCGGGGTGACCAGTGACCCGCCGGTCGGTCAGGGTTTCCTTTCAGAAATGCTCCACTCCGCAGTTGCTAAAAAGAGTGAAGGATCAAAGAGTGAGAACAAAGTGGGGCTGTGTTCCTCTGCTATTAACAGAAAAGCTTTTTGTTTGTTTGTTCTTTCTCCCGAGGTTACCTTTGGCAGCTTAAGGAGAACTTCCTTCAAAGGAGTCGTGGTTTTTATTGCATTTGTTTTCTAGCTCAGATCCCTGGTCCAGTTTGTAGTGTTTGACCACAGTATTCAGAAAACTGGATTTAGGAGTATTTGAAACTTCAGGAATTCAACTCAGTGTCCCCAACAGCCTCTACAGACTTGACTTGTATTGTTTTGATCAACTACGGGTGCAGGGAAGATTTTTGTGCTGCATGGGATTCCCTTCCCCACTTCGTTCAACTCCTTGTAACCCGACTCTTTATCTGCTTGTAATTTGGGGGTTTTGCTTTAAATTTTGTTTACTTTCCAGGGACTAGATTTAACTACCCAGCATGAGAAAAACAAGCTGGTTTTGCTTTAGAAATACAGTGTAAGAGACTAGGGTGTGTTGGGTAGTGAATCCCAGTGATCCCCACGCTTGGAAGGCAGAGGCTGGTAGATCGCTGAGTTTGAGGCCAGCCTGGACTACATACATATCAAGTTCCAGGCTCACCAGGACTTTGTCTCAACAAAGAAGAAAGAAAAGAAATTTCAATCTGGAGGTGAAATTGGATTTTCTTTGAAATCTGATTTCTTTGACTATGTTTTGTTTTCTCCTTTAGAAATTATTTGGGAGCCAGGTGGTGGTGGCGCACCCCTTTAAGCCCAGTCACACTAAGTTACTCAGGCTGGCCATAAACTCAGTATGTAGCCAGTATTGCCTTGAATTTGACATCTTGCCTCAGTCTCCAGAGTAGCGAGGTGTTATTATTTTATGTGAAACAAATAGATAATTCTGTATCTGGTTTATGCTGCAGGCTAGCAGAATTAACATTACCTGACACATGGGTATAATCTTCCTTAGTCTGGATTTATATTTATCAGGATCCCTGGGTAATTCATAAGCATCTTAGCATTTTTGAGAAGCACTGTCTTAGAATTTAATAAAAGATTAAAAGGAAAATTATCCCTACGTAGATTAGAGAAAGCCAGGCCAGGTGGATCACGTCTGTAATCCCTGCTCTTGAGAGGCCGAGACAGATGAAAGAGAATTCAAGATCAACAAAAGTCAGGAAAATCTTAAGGAGGTAATCATTTTACAAAATGTAGCCTCTCAGATAATAGACTGATAGGAAAGAGGTAGATGATACCTGCTCTAGAAAGTATGGTGTAGGGCTGAGGAGGAACTTAGTTGGTAGTAGGCAGGAGCCTCTGAGTTGAATCTCCAGCCTTGTATAAAGCCGTTCTGGTGACTCATCCTAGCATTGGGAGGTGGAAGCAGGAAGGCCGGAAGTTGAAGATCATCTTTGTCTATGTACTGAATTTGAGGCCAGCCTGGGCCTTCGCCTCCTGAGCACTAGGATGACAGGTACTGTTGTACCTATCTTGTCTTTCACCAGTTCGGGTTTGATGTTGTTGCTGCTGCTGTTGTTTGTAATTGTAAAATGAAAAGGGCACAATGTCTGTCTGATGAAATTTGAAGATTACATGGAATAGCAAATATCCAAAGGATTGACAAAAAGTATAATTATTTGAATATATATACATTTTGGTTCACGTTCATATATTTCTCTCTGGTTCACAGTTTTGTTTTCTCTCCTAAGATCTCAGTGGTTCTATGGCAGCTCCAGATGTCAAATTAAATCTCGGTGGAGGTGGAGATTTTATCAAAGAATCTACAGCTACTACATTTCTGAGACAAAGAGGGTATGGCTGGCTTCTGGAAGTTGAAGATGAGGACCCTGAAGATAACAAGCCACTTTTGTACGTGAAGGGATGTGTCTTTTGTGATCTTTTGGACCTATTCTGTGGGATGCTTATGTTCTTTTATATTTTTAAAGTTAGATAAGGAAAATTTTAGCCGTTTAGGTGAAAAACAGTAGCAGGGCCTAGAGAGATGGCTCAGCAGTTATGAGTACTTCTTACTCTTTCAGAGAACTTGTGTTTTAGTGCCATCATCATCCATCTCAGGTAACACAGCTGCCTGTAGCTGCAGCCTGTAGGGATCTGACCAGTCTTCTGGCCTTTGTGGGCACATGTATATGCATGGCATTCACTTATACAAACACACACACACATAAGTCTTTAAAAGCAGGTTTTAGTTTCACGAGCACTAGTTTTACCAGCACCTGAAGTGATGAGGAAAGAATGCTCTTAGCCTGTTGGCTGTGGGTGTCCGGGGTTTTTAAATGGGAACTGGAGAAATGGCGCCGTGGTTAAGAGTGCTTGGCTGCTCTTGCAGGGACTGGATTTCTGTTCCCAGAATCTCACAACTGCTTGTTACTCCAGTTCCAAGGAATCTAATTTACTCTTCTGATTTCTGAGGGCATCAGGCACACGTGTATTACACAGACATACATGCATACATGCAGATAAAACATTTGTTTAAAAAAAATCTCTTAAAAGTTTTAAACTTGGCCAGGTGGTGGTACACACCTTTAACCCCAAGTACTCAGGGCAGAGGCAGGTGGATCTCTGAGTTCGAGGCCAGCCTGGTCTGCAAAGCAAGTTCCCTGACAGCCAGTACTGTTTTACAGAGAAACTCTGTCTCAAAAAAGGAAAACTGTGTGTGTGTGTGTGTGTGTGTGTGTGTGTGTATGTATAGCACACATATATACATACACACACACACACACACACATATATTTTAAGCTGGAAGCTGGGCTTTGTACTATACATTTGTAATCTCAGTATTTGAGAGGTAGATACCTAAGAATCAGGAGTTTAGCCAAGAAAACCTGAGACCGAGTTCAGGGAGAGACCCTATCTTAAAAGGACTACATGGAGATTGAGAGAGTAGCACACTCTGCACCTTCTTCTGGCCTCAGTGTGTACAGTGTGTGCACTGACACCCACACATAGACCCTGCCTGTGCTCAAACATTCACACTCACGTGTTAGAAGTGATCTGGAGAAGAAAGAGCAAGATCTACTCTGCTGGCATGCCTTTAATCCCAACACTCTGGAGACAAGGACAGGTGGTCTTTTTGAGTTCCAGGCCAGCAAGGATACTTAGTGAAACCTCTCTCAAAAGAGACAGTGGCCACTTTTTGTTTGTTCGTTTTGTTCTGTTTTTCGAGACAAGGTTTCTCTGTGTTTCTTTGGGACCTGTCCTGGAACTCTTTTGTAGACCACGCGGGCCTCAAACTCAAAGAAATCCACCTGCCTCTTCCTCCTGAGTTCTGAGATTAAAGGCGTGCACCACCATTGCCCGGCAAGAGTGACCACTTTGAAAAAAAAAAAAAAAACAAAACCAAAAAACTATGTTTGTCTTAAACACACATATAAATAGATATGCTCTACACTAATTATCTTGTTTGACCAGCTATCCCAAATAGTCAGTGTCATCTAAAAAAGCAAGGTTCAACAAGATTAAGGCTGAAACTCAGGTCTAAAGCATAATTATGGCCAGGCAAGGTGGCACACACCTTTATCTCAGTACTCAAACAGAGGCAGATCTTGGAAGCACTTTGTTTCCCTTCACACCTACTACAGTTTCAAAACCCCAGCAACTGTGAGCTTGATAGATATTTTCTCATGAAATCAATCTAATAGATACTTCAAATGCAGATGTTGACCTGTGGCTATCATATTATCTAGTTTAAGTTTAAAGTTATTTTAAACCTGTTTTGCTGTTCAAAATTACATGTTTTTTTTTTAAGAATCTTATTTTAAATTTATAGGGAAGAATTGGACATTGATCTAAAAGATATTTACTACAAAATCCGTTGTGTTTTGATGCCAATGCCATCGCTTGGTTTTAATAGACAAGTAGTGAGAGACAATCCTGACTTTTGGGGTCCACTGGCTGTTGTCCTTTTCTTTTCAATGATATCATTATATGGACAGTTTAGGGTAAGTATACCTCATTTTATACAAATGTTAGATCTTTTTATGATGTTCAAAAATTAAATGTAGTCCCATGTTTACTATAAAGACACACATTTGAGAGATGTTTTACGTTAGCCTGTTTTTTTCTCACTTGTTCATTCCTAAAACTGTTTCTTAATGGAATACCTTGGATTAATTCTTTCTCAGCTTGTCCACATTTTATTTTAGGTTTTTATTTATTTTACTTTATGTGTATGTTTTGCCTATGTGCAAATGTGTGTGCTATGTTCATGTCTGTTGGACCTTTGGAGCTAGGCTTATGAATGGCTCTTAGTCATCCTGTGGGTGCTAAGAGTCTCCTCAGTCCCTTGCAAGAACAAGTACTCTTAACCACTAAGCTGTCTCTTTAGCCCCAGGTTTTCCACATTTTATTTTTTTGTGTGATTAATTACTATTTTTAATTATGTGTATATGTCAGGTAGAAGCAGGTGATTTCTGTGAGTTCAAGGACAGCCTGATCTACATAGCAAGGTCCTGTCTCAAATATTGTGTGTGTGTGTTGGGGGAGAGATGTGTGTGTCTGTGCATGGAGTGCTGGTACCTGGTAAAGTCAGAGGTATTGAATTTTACAGGAGTTAAAATTATACCTAGTGTGAGTGCTGGCAGTTAAATTTGGGTCTTGGAAGAATGATGTGTTCTTACAATAGAGCCATTTTTTGGCCATCTATTAGTTACATTACTTGTTGCTATAACTAAATACCTGGTAGAAGCACATTAAGGAAGGATTTATTTTTGTTCACAATTTATGGCGGGGAGGACATTGTGGGGGAAGCTTGCCTCTTCCATTTCATTTCATTAGGGTAGATCTTCCCACATCCACTAACCAAACTTAGAAACTCCTATCCAATGTCTGTCTCCTAGGTGATTTTGTTGTTGTTTTGGGAGGGGTGGTTGTTTTTTTTGTTGTTGTTGTTTTGTTTTGTTTTTTTGAGACAGGGTTTCTCTGCATAACCTTGGCTATCCTAGAACTAGCTTTGTAAACCAGGCTGCCTCGAACTCACAGAGATCCACGTGCCTCTGCCTCCCGAATGCTGGTGTTAAAAACATGCTCAGCCAGTGCCCAACTTTCCTAGATGATTATGAATTGTCTTGTCATATGATGCTGTTAGGCCAGGTGTTGTGGGGCATGCATTAATCCTAGCGCTTGGAAAGCAGACCATCAGGTAGGTCTCTGTGAATTTGAGACTGGTCTGATGATCTACATATAACCAGTTCCAGGACAGCTAGGGACACATAGTGAGACCTTGTCTCAAAAAAGCAAAAAAAGAAAAACCGGTTGCTTTTGGTCATGCTGCTTATCACAGCCATAGGAAAGCAAACAAATATAGGCCTCATTCCTGCTAAGCAAGTTCTTTATCTCTGAGCTGTATATATCCAGCCTTTTTTTTTTTTTTTTTTTTTTTGTGAGACATAGTCTTGCTAATTTGTTTTTACTTTAGTTTTGGGACTCACTCTGTTGCCTAGGCAGACCTTGATCTTGTGATCCTCCTGCCCCAGATTCCTGAGTATTAAGATATAGATAGGTGTATGCCACCAGTTTAACTTGTTCTTTATTATTAATATGTTCTAGAGATACTTTGCACTTATGTAAATACCTTGTTTCTCATCAAACTTGAGCCCAATAATTTTTTCACCTGATTAGTACTATAGTATTCATTGAATGGTGATTACCCTACTTCCTTCATTTCATCTATGTTTATTAGTATTTTCTAAGAAACAGTCACCCTTCTTTTCTGTTACTTAAGTACTCAGTTATTTACATCAATATATTGAATATTTATTCTGTTCTCTAAACTATAACCCAATATTACCATTTATTTTATTGTTCAGTTTGTTCCTGTTTATTAGCCATTGGGAACATCTTTAGGTTTTCTGTGACCTTTGAACCCTTAATTCATATGTGTATGTGTGTGCTTAGGTGAGTGTGTACTTGTGTATTTTACATGGAGACCAGAAGTCAACTTTGGTTGTTCTTCAGAACTTTGATTTCTGAGACAGTGTCTACATTAGACTTGGGCCTTGCCGGTTAGGCTAAGTTCTGTCTCCATTTCTTCAGTCCTGGGGTTACAAGTGTATGCCACTTCACCCAGCTTTTTGTGTGGGTCCTGAGAATAAAAGCCTCAAGCTTACGTTTGTAATAAAAACACAGAGACAGATATTAGGGTTGAACCTGAAGGTCAGAAAAACATAATAGCCAGCCACTGGCTATTCAGTCCTAAATGGCAATCCTACCTCCAGGAATCCTCAGAATAAGAATTCAAGTGTTCAAGCAGTTTCTCAGCTGAGCTGCCTCCCACCTCCATATAACATACTTTTTGAGTATACCTTTCTTCTAACTCCACGGGTATTTATAAACTAATTTTGCATTATTCTCTGATGTAACCTGGGAAGCAGACAATACACTTATAAAGGCTCAGTTCTCGTGAGGGACTGTTAAGAACCAAAATCTGTAAGCTGGGTGTAGTGGGAGGCTGAGGCAAGAAGACTGCTTTAAGTGTGAGCTCATCCTGAGCCACACAGTGAGTTTGAAGCCAGCATGCACTACATTGTGAGACCTTATTCAAAATGAAGGAAACTAGGCACTGTTTGTGTTTCTTTATATGTTTGTGTTTCTGCTTTTTCTGTTTTTGGATCAGGGTTTCTAAAGGCTGTTAAACAGAGAAACCTTGTCTCGAGAAATCAAACCCCCCCCCCAAATAAAAACTTTTAGCATGTTCTTGAAATACTGAAGTTTCTATAAGCAGTTAGCAATTGTTGAACTTTCAGTTTGTTTCTAAGTTTATATTAAACCTTGTATTTGTAAGTTTTGGAAATGTACTTGAGTACTAACAGAACTTCTGACCTGAAATGGGGCTTGCTAAGCTGTCCTAAGTTGCAGAAAGTTGAATTTCTGAAAGCTTAGTAGTTTATTAGACTTTTCTTTAATTAATGATTTTTTTTCCCTCTTTAAGGTGGTCTCATGGATTATAACCATTTGGATATTTGGTTCACTGACAATTTTCTTACTGGCTAGAGTTCTTGGTGGAGAAGTAAGTACTTAATTTTAAAAGGCGGCTTCCTTAGTGTTTGTTTTGTTTTGTTTTCTAGACAGTCTCACTTTAGAGCCCTAGCTAGCCTGGAACTCACTGTGTAGACCAGACTAGCCTTGAACTCGCAAAGACCCGCCTGTTTCTGCTTCCTAAGGGTTGAGGTAAAAAGATAAGGATAAGCACACCCTGCTTTAAAAAAAGTTTTTAATTATGTGTATCTATGTATGTAAACATCAGTGCAGGTGTCCGTAGATTCCAAAAGAGGTCATCAGACTTTGTTGAGCTAGAGTTGGGCAGGTATTGGGAACTGAACTCAGGCGTACTGCAAAAGAAGTGCATGCTTATGACCGCTGAGCCCTCTCTCCAGCCTATTTTGTTTGTTTGTTTGTGAGATAGTGTCAGTTTGTGGTCCCGACTAACCTAAAACTGCTGTGTAGACCAAACTGGCCTCAAACAAGTGTGACCTGTCATACCTGGCTAATAAATGAATCTTTGGTTATTGTTTTTATTTTTTGATACAGGATCTGTCTACATAGCCCTGGCTGTCTTGGAACTCATTTTGTAGACCAAACTGGCCTCAAACTCAACAGAATTCCACCTGCCTGTCCCTTAGTGCTGAAATTAAAGGCATATGCCACCATGCCCAACTATAATAATAAATGCTTCTTGTCCTGGAAATTATCTTTATACTAGTTCCATTCAGATGGTTGATATAGATATTAAATCTACTCAATAAATGCAAGAAATGAAGAGGAGAGATCGCTTCCCAGCTATCAAATATACAGCTATATAGCTCTTCACAAAAGCATAGAATTGGCAACAGGTTTCACGCCAGTTCTCAGTTGCTGTAGAGATTCCTTATGTTTATCAGAAATTGCCCTAATTGAAAATAGATTGGGTTTTTGTTTTTTGAAGCAGAGTCTCCTATAGCTGAAGGCTACTATATCTTTCCAAAACAGGATTGTTAGAAGAGTAATTTTGACATGTGGTTTCTTGGAAGCTAACTTTTAAGACTGACTTTCTTCATCAGTGCCTTATGATGTCTAGCTTTAGTTAAATTATATGAAGAAAGCAAGGCTTCACATGGCTAAACAGCTGAAAAATAGGGTGTTTTTGATAGCTTTTTAGGTGAATGTAGATACTGTTCCTAGATACTCCAAAACTCAGAAAGTAGTAGTTTCTTAAAAGTTTGTTCCAGGCCAGGTGGTGGTAGTGCTACACGCCGTTAATCCCAGTACTGAAGAGGCAGAGGCAGGCAGTTCTCTGTGAGTTTGAGGCCAGCATTGTCTATAAAGTGAGTTCCAGAACAGGCTCCAAAGCTGCACAGAGAACCCTATCTCAAGACAGAGAGAAACTGTCTCAAAAAGAAAAAGAAAAGTTTGTTCTAGTTAGGAATTTCCATATACATAAAATTGTCATTAAAAAATTATTCTGGGAGCTGAAGAGTTAGCTCAGTGGTTAAGAGCACTTGTTCTTGAAGAGAAAAAAAAATGAAATTTATGCCCTGACAATGCTGAAGCATGTATGGGCAACCCATATAGACAGTCCTGTTAAACTTGTCCATATTGGGTTTATGGTCTAAGTTGATGAGGATGACTGACCATGTCTCTTCCTCAAGAGGGCACCAGATCTCGTTAGAGATGGTTGTGAGCCACCATGTGGTTGCTGGGAATTGAGCTCAGGACCTTTAGGAAGAACAGGCAGTGCTCTTAACCACTGAGCCTTGTCTACATGGTAAGTTCCAGGAGAGCCGGGGCTATGTGAATAGATGCTGTCTCAATAAACAAGAAGACATTATTAGTACCCTGAACATGGCAGTCTTGGAACTTTAGTATTACCAGTAGGGCTTGATTAGTTCTTGAATGAGAGAAAATATGTTTGACTGCTTTGCTGAAATGTTTACTTGAAGGCTGTTGTGTAGCTCAAATTCGAAGACCTGAGTTAAATTCCTAGCACTGTCAAAAGTGAAAATGTGTGCCAGAGAGAGGGTTCAGCACTTAAGAGCACTTGTTGCTCTTACAGAGCACCTGAGTTCAGTTTCCAGCCCTGGCATATTATCTAAGAACAGTTTATCATTCCAGTTCCAGGAGATCTAATGCCTTGTTCTGACCTCCATCAGCATATACACATAGACCCACGAACATACACATTAGTAAAAAATTTTCAAAAAATTGTTATGATAAGTTTCTGTTCACTGTCTCCTAGTTACCCTTCTTTCGTTTCTCTTTGCCACACATGACTTCTTTGGATCTTGGCTTTTTATCTGAAGATGGTTATTGTAATATTTTAAAATGGTCTTTGAGCCAAGTATACTGTTCCACACCTGTAATCCTGGCACTGGAAAGGCTGTGGCAAAGGATCAAGTTTGAAGCCAGCTTGGGCTACATGGTGAAATCTTGTTTTCTTACCACATTCCCCCAGCAGAAATGCTAGGCATTGTAGGTCAAACCCATAATGTCAACACTACAGAGATTGAAGCAGAAAGATCAGAAGTTCTATGTTGTCCTTGGCTACATAGTGAGTTTGAAGTCATCCTGAGTTATATGAGACCTTGTCTCAGAAAAGGGGAGGGAAGCTGGAGATATGGCTCGGTGGTTAAGAGCACTTACTGCTCTTTAAGAGCACATGATAATGGCTCACAGCCTCTGAACTCCACTGCCAAGGGAAGGTATTTTTCCTAAACCACAGGAAGACTTTTTTTTTTTTTTTTTAAGAGAAACTTTGTTTTTTGAGACAGGGTTTTTCTATGTAACAGCGTTGGCTGTCCTGGAATTCACTTTGTAGACCAAGCTGGCCTCGAACTCAGAGATTCGCCTGTCTCTGCCTCCCAAGTGCTGGGTTTAAAGGCATGTGCTACCATCGCCTGGTTTAAGAATAGCTTGATGTATGTGTATCACATGTATTCAGTATAATGATCTGTACTATAGGTGGCTAGACATAATCCTCGAGTTAGAGACAAGAGCTGAATATGTGGGTTTTGAATATTAGGAAACTGGAGCATATTGAAAAATATAGTGATATATTTGGCCCTGAAATATATAAAATGAGGTGATAATTTAAAATATGTTGGGCATGATACTTTATGATTTACTAATTCTTTTATTTATGTCAGTACAGCAAAGAATGATATTGAAAAGTGCCTAAGTATCCTCATTCCTATGATGTTTATTTAAATTTTTTAAAATTCACAGGTTGCATATGGCCAAGTTCTTGGAGTGATAGGATATTCATTACTTCCTCTCATTGTAATAGCCCCTATACTTTTGGTGGTCGGATCTTTTGAAATGGTGTCTACACTTATAAAAGTAAGTTCTTTATATAGTATGAATTATACAGCTAACCGTTTTCTGTATGAAAGTATGCTGGTTCTGTGGATAAGAATATCATAACCTAAAACTTCCTGAGACAGTGGTATTTGGGAACAGAGACTTTTTTACCAATGTACTTTCTTCTGATTCCCCCGCCCCACCTGCTGTCACCAGAAATTATGAAATCTGTAGGCATCTTGGGAAGACTGGAGATCAAATAAAATTTCAGGATAATCATACTTTAAAATTTTTTAGTATTTCATCTCAGTACTATTAAATATGAATTCATGTAACAGATTTGGGGGTTATTTATTTAAAATTCCACTGAAACTAGGTGTGGTGGCACACACCTTAATCGCACCACTTGGAAGATAAAGGCAAGAGTACCAGAAATTCAAAGTTACTCTCAGATACCTGAGCAGTTTGAAGTTCGTCTTAATTAAAGTACAGCCTAGTGCTCCTCCTTTTCACCAAACCCTGGTGCCTCTTCCTTTTCCTAGGACAAGAGTGATAATAATCGCGTATATAGTTTTAACTTAAGTTGTGAGCCCTCTTTCAGGTATCAAATTATTCAACAGTTTGGCATAAATAATTGTGTTTTCAAAAGTTACCAGATCGTCAGCAGGCTGTGGTGACTCTGGGAGTTTATACTCCTTACCACTCAGGTGGCTAAGGCAAGTGTGTTGTGGGTTCAAAAGTAAGCCTGAGCCTAATAGTGAATTCTAGGATTCTGAATGAAATGAATGAAACCATTTCTCAACAAATAAAAAATAACTTGATCATAATCACTAGGGCCACTTGATTAAAAGAATGAACACTAGATTTTTGCCTTAGAAATTCTTCAATTTAACCTGGGCATGGTGGCATAGCCCTTTAATCCTAGCATTCAGGAAAGCTGTCATTCAGTCTCTGAGTTTGGGACCAGCTTGGTCTACATAGTATGCTTCATTTATTTGTGTGCTGCATGAGTAGGCGCATTGCATCCAAGTCACGTGGGATTACAGGTATGACTTTTTAAAAGAATGTGTTGTGTGTGTATGTTGTATTTTACAGGTATGACTTTGTAAAAGTCTTTTGTGTGTGTGTTTTGTATTTCAGTTTGCTGCTGGTTTTGTTTTTATTTTGAGATAGTCTGACACTATAGCTACAGCTGGCCATGAACTCACTGTGTAGTCCAAACTGGCCTTGAATTTATGTTGAGTGCCACTATGCTTGACTGGAAGTTTCTCTTTGTATAGAAGGTACAAATGATTGTTACAACTAAGTTTCTTTTCTTTTTTAATTGCATAAGTTAAGGAAAGAGCAAGAGAGAATATTCTTAAAAAGTCTCACTTGGTGGATCACTTTTTAAAACATTGTAACTGTTTTCTGTGATATGCAAAATATTGATTGATTTACTAATATGCTGCTGTTGTCTTCCTTTTCTTCTTTAAGCTGTTTGGTGTGTTTTGGGCTGCCTACAGTGCTGCTTCATTGCTCGTGGGTGAAGAATTCAAGACCAAAAAGCCTCTCCTCATTTATCCAATCTTTTTATTGTACATTTATTTTTTGTCCTTATATACTGGGGTGTGATCCAAGTTGTACCTGAGTTGAAAAGATGGTGTTACATTTGTATTGAGCTGGGAATTCTTGCTGAAGGGATTGGAAAAAACATAACTAGTAAAATTTTATACATTCCAGATAGAAAGGCAGGTTTAAAGTCTTTTTAAAACAATATTTTTTGTATTTAAGTAATTGCAGTTATCTGGGATTCTTTGGTCAGAATTCTGAATTCTGTTTGGTTCTTCATGTTCCGCAAATAAATAAAAAGTGTTGTGTTTTTTTCAGATTGTGTCAATATTCACCAGAACACTTGTGCCAAAAGCACCTAGATGGGAAATTGTATCTCACTTGAAGTGTGAATTGATAACATCCTGAAAATCTAAAAGTGCAATTTTTTTTCTTTGAAGAATTTTCTCCTGCACCACAGATCCTGTAGATACCTATTTATATTTATACATATATATTTATGAAATAATTCTTATTCACAAAATATATTTCTGAATAGCCTAAAAATTAAGATACTAAATCTGATGCTTAAACTTTCCTTAATTTGGCCATTAATGTTTTTTATTTAAAACTTAAAATTTGTTTTTAAATTGTGTGTAATTTTTGAAATAATAGTTGCAGTATAGATTTGGTTTGTGTGTATATGCTCTTAAAAAACAGTTTTGGATGTCTAAACATTTGATTTAAAGTTCTGTTTATCTTTTTGATCAAAGGAGCAAGAGATATAATTAATATGGCATTCATTAAAATCATTAATATATAGGAAAAATAATATTTATAGCATCAGTAAATATTTTCAAGTGGTACCTTTAAATCATAAAAGCTGCGGAAAAGAGACCTTTGAAGTCATGTGGTCTTGAACAATGTTATATGAAGTAGAAAATAAAATGTTTTCCAGCTGTGTGCTTTGTTTTACAATACCTTTTTCTATATTACTTGATACTTTAAGAAATATTACTTTCTTTTGAACAAATTTACAGTTTTTGCTAAGGGAAATATTATGAAAAATTTATCCAAGAAGTTTTTTTGTAAATCCTGTATTCTGTATATATATCTTTAATATTACTTTGTAAAGTAGATAAACTGTTTTATCTGTGTTCATAAAATAGCAAATCCCTGTTAGCACATTATTGTATTATTCTTTCTGGTTTTGCCCAAAAAAGTTAACTTCTATTCCTGATACAGTATAACGTCATCGTCTCTGTGTTCCTTAGGCAAAACATGTAGGAGAACAGGTGAAAGCCCTAGATAGATAAACTTCAGGAACGGAGGAGTAGTGAGAAGTAGTATAGAAGTATCTTTAGCCACAGAAGCAGCAGCAGAAGGTAAGTAAATGTCTGTTAGAGAGGTTCCTGTGGTCATCCCTTTGAATGATTATTTGGATTTCTTTTTCATTTTGTGGTGCTGTGTCAGATCTAGTACCTTGCACATGGTAGGCAAGTGTTGTTCTGGTTAACCACACTTCTTACCTGTCAGGTATGTCCAGCCTGCAAATCCGTAAGCCATACAAGGCTAAGGAAAGCTATCAGTGCAGCTCAAATCAAAACTTTAAACTTAATTAAAATATTCTGGAAGTTTTTGTGCCATCGAATGTGAACTTTATAGATGATAATGTTGTTTTGCAACTTGCAAGATTTGACATACCTGTTAGGTGTCCATAGTGTTGACCTGAAACTAAACTTTGTGGAGTCAAGACTAGATTGTCAAATCTTGGTAGTTGCTGCTTCAAGATATTTTAGGAATACTCCACTCAAAGCTGATTTTATTTTTAAAAAGTTATCAGTGCACAGGGTCAGTGATAAGACGTACGTGTGTCTGTGTGAGGGTTATCGAATCCTCTGGAACTGGAGTTAAAGACAGCTGTGAGTTGCCATGTGGGTGCTGGGAACTGAACCCAGGTCATCCGGAAGGCAGCCAGTGTTTCCAACTGCTAAGGCATCTCTCTAGCTTCCAAAAAAGTTGGTTTATAAGGGTTTTAAATTTCAGCCAACTCAAGTCAGGTGGTGGTGATGCATACCTTTAGTCCCAACAGGGAGGCAGAAGCCATGAATTTGAGGCCAGCCTGGTCTACAGCAAGTTCCATGACAGCTGTTACAAAGAGAACCCCTGTCTTGAAAAGCCCTGTCTTCGGATGTCAAACTCAGTGAAAGGGCTTCAGGATCATATTCTTCCCAGTTTTCCATATGCTCTGGGAGTAACATCCTCACCCACGTGCATTGGGCATACCTCTGTATTTCTTGTGCATCTTTTGTGGGTTTCTTTCCCAGCAACAGCTTGTGCTTGGAAAGTGAAGGACAGTCAAAACAATGCAAATGACATCTCTTGACATTCACAGTTACGATTTGTATGCTAAGACGTGGGCTCACTCTCTTTGTGCTGAAATCATGGAGTTATTTCCTCTTGTTTACTTTACTACTTGTGGCCTCCATTCCTAGTTACATACACTGTGAGTTCCCATATCCATGCTAATTTGATCTGAAATGCATGGATCTCTTGGGGACTTACTCTCTTGCCCTGGTGGCAAATGGACTTATGTCATCATTGGGTTGAGCTAACCACAAGAAGAAGGTTTGTTGCCATCTTAATTGGTGACCTCATCAAAATGGAACAAACTATATAACTTAGCCACCATTGTGGTTAGTGATGTCATCAAGATGGTAACAGCCACATGACATGGTACTAGCTTACTAGTGATGTAATAAAGATGGCAAGGGACCTGTGACTTTATAACAGTCTTGGTTAATGCCACCACATGGCATAAACCAAAGTGGCATCCATAAAACTTTCGGGTACCACTGAACCTTTAGGATTGCCACACTGTTTTGATTTTTACATTCCTAGAATGGGATCTTGGAAATGGGAGGCTCTAATTGTATGGTTTGTTTCTGAGTATTAAAGGTCAATACATTCTTAGATAGGCTATACCAGACCTTCATATTAGGTTTAAAAAAAAAAAAGACATGTTTTTCTTCATGTTTACTGGTTTCCAGAGGAGTCTTAAAAGTTAGCCATGTATGTGTCTCAGGCACTAGCTAACTGCCAGAGGAAGCTGACACTTTGAATTGGCTAAACCTGGGAAGCTCGTGTAAGTTTGCAGCACCCAGAACCGAGTCTGGAAAAGCACAGATCTCAAGCAGGACTCAAGCTGCTTCCAGCAGTCAGCTACAGCAGCAGGAGGGTTCCTCTGGGTCTTAGTACCTGCTGTTTCTTTTGTTGTCTCCAAACCTCTTTTCTCACTGAGATAGTATTCTTTTCCTGCTAAAAACCCTTTGCTCTATATTTCTTATTTGTCTTTGTTTCTTTCCCACTGAGCCCCGGATAAAGTTTTGTTTTTAACTTTCCAGTTACAATAACAGAGGCTAAGGAAAAGAATAGGCCGAGCCCATCCATCCCTTTTCAGGTTCTTTGATACGTTACTCTTTTTAGTGTTCTTTACTCTCTATATTATGGACACTAAATTTAAAGTAATGATGGTGGTGGTGATGACAGTAATGATAAAAAAGATTATTGACTGCTCATGAACAGGAGAAGAGAGGACCCTCTGACCAAGAAACAAAAACAAAACACCTCAGTTTCTTAGTTGACTTCTGCTGGATATTGTGAATGTCGGTGTGATGATGTTTTACTGTGTAATGCTGCTTTTCTCTCCTTCCACTCATTCAGAACCAAAAGCATGACTTTGCAAAAGTAGGCTGTTCTCTGGACTGTACAAGTCATTCAGAGATATTTTTTACTGTGTGTGCTCTCTATAATATTTACCTAAGAGGGGTTGGGGAATTAGCTTAGAGGTAGAGTGCTTGCTGGCCATGAATCCAAAGCTCTGTGGGGGAAAAACTTTATCCAAGGATTTAGGAGACCGCTTAGTTTAACAGTATGTGTACACAGGTAATACTCGTTTGTCATGTTTATCATATGTATGTAATTTGAATTCAGTTTTCTTTATAAAACTAGTGTTTGCACAGCGCTATCCTATGAGCTAAACATCTGCCATCTTCATAAGACCAGCTGTGTGTGCTTTGCTTATAAAAGATCATTATGATTGAGCTTATTGATAATGTTCCTGGGAGGGGGCTGGAGAGATGGCTGAGCAGTTAAAAAAGCTGGCTATTCAAGAGTACCCATTACCCACATAGCATCTCAAAACTGTAACTCCAGTTCCAGAGAATCTGACATGCTCACACAGACATACATGCAGGCAAAACACCAATACATATTATTAATTATCTTTTTAAAAAAAAAAAAAAAAAAGCCGGGTGGTGGTGGCACAAGCCTTTAATCCCAGCACTCAGGAGGCAGAGACAGGCAGATCTCTGTGAGTTCAAGACCAGTCTGGTTCACAGAGCCAAGTTCCAGGACAGTCAGGAGGAGGACTACTTAGGGAAACCCTGTCTCGAAAAAACGAGGGAACAAAAGATGAGGTAGTGTGCAGGGTCTGGACCTTCATGTGTGTATTCCGCCACTTCCACCTGAGTTCAGTCCTTTTCACTGCCAGTCATATGCAGTCTTGACATAATTACGTATGGCTTCAAGATCTTGGGGGAGGAACTAGAGTATATAGGCTGGGGAAGTTTGAGGAGAGAAGGGAAGGCATCCATACTGGGTGAAGACTTTACAGTTACCCACACTCCCAATCAGTAGCTCTTTACTCATGCTTTGTAAGTAAGCCCAATAAAGTCATTGGTTCCCCATGCTGAACTTTGGTGACACTGAAATTTGGTTTGTTGTTGGGACCTTAAATGGAAATTGTTTAGTGTCCTTCACTCAGAGAGGTAATTCTCATAATGTGCTGTTATATCTCATGGTATTGAGAAAGAAAACCAGTAACAGAAACTTTTAGAAGGGTGTAAGAAAGGAAATACTTTGAGTGAAAGATGTATGAAAATTAAAATGAGTGAAAAGATAGAAAAGAAAACTAGAAATTTATGCAAAGAATAAAGGTCTGAGTAAGTTATTTAAGGTATATAAAAGATGATACTTAAATTTCCAAGGTCAAAGCTCAATACTTTGATGTCAACCTCTGCTTAAATCAGTGGAATTACTGTTCTGTTCTTTGTGGCAATTATAAGAGCTGATTTAAAGAACAAACATGTATGCCCGATCAAAGTTTACTTAGAAGTGCTTGGGTTTTGCTCAAACTTTATATAAATATTACACAGTAGTTCAAAGTCCCTGACTTAATATAGCCAATCTTCTGGGTATGTAATAACCATACTTGGAAACCTGTACTCAGGTGGTAGATATTAAAAGGGAGAATATCATTCCCTTGCTCTCCAAGCTCAGCTAGGTTCCAGGGGACTGTGGGGCATTTCTGGAAATGTTCTGTAAGACATTACCTGTTCTCTTGTTTGGGAATGCCATGGAGACACCATCAAGTGAATTCTAACCAATGTTCAGCCTACAAAAAGGCAGGTCAACCCAGAAAATGATTCTAAGCAAAGCCACAGTCGCACACACACACACACACAATAATAATAATAATTAATAAATAAATAAAAAGGCTGGAGGAGCAGAGGTTCCTCTAACGTCCAAGAGACTCCTGTTGCCTCGGTCCTCAGCTGGCCTGGACAGTACAAAATGATTAGTTCTGATTTTGATCACCTGCATGGTCCACACCTAGCAGGAAAGTATAACAACAAAAAATGAACCCCTAAAAGTATTGATTTTTTTTTCCGGTGGTCCAAGAGATCACATTCCCCAAACACTGGACTTAAATCTATACTTAGACAACTATTCTCAATTATGATCCTTATCACCTTTTTTTGATGCAGAGTCTTATTATGTAGCCCTGAGTGGCCTAGAACTCATTGTGTAGACCAGGCTGGCCTTGAAGTTGCTGAAATTTGCCAGCCTTTGCCTCCCCAAGTGCTAGGATCAAAGGGTGTGCATCACCATGTCCACTATGA